TTTTTTTTCGAAACGATAGAGACAAGTATTCATTTGCTAATTGCATCTTCATGCTAATTAAAATCTATTTATTTAATTGTCGGAATAAACTATGTTTAGGTGATAAATTAATTCAAATACTGATAAGTTGTAGTATATACTTACTTCTGTATAATATAATATGGGAATTCATATAATTATACAGTTATAGAATTTTAATTTCTTAATTTTTGACATTTTGGAGAGTTTTGATTTTTATTATATTTTATTATATAGAAATCAATTAAAAAATTGTGGCGTTAAGCATATGTATGTTAAATTTAGCTATAAACTCGATAAGGGCAAATACTAAGGTCCCGTTACAGAACCATTTTCCGTCAGAGTTTTTAACTGTTAGATCATCACCGTTAAAGATAGTTGATCTAATGGTTACAAATTTCGACGGAATAGTTTCGTAACGAGACCGCATCTTCCCTAGATAAGTTAGCTGATAAATTATAACTAAATAATAACTCACGACTAAAAACAACTAATTTCTGAACTGTTTGAGGTGTTTCCAATGTGTCTGCTTTGCACTATGGCATGAACATTAATAAATTAATAATACAATAATTTACTATTTAATTTTATTCTTAGATTCGGTAAAATCATTTTTTTATATTTTTATTATCAGATTTATTTGTTTGATTTATTTATTTTATTTTATATGTTTGTGTGTTGATTCGTTTGAGGAATATTTAATTAATTTACTATTTATTTGTTGTTGTACGTGACTGGAAAACTTGCATCCATAAGTCAACTCTACTGTCCTGATTTCAATTTTTTATGACTTTTATATCTTTAGAATATCTATCAGCAGCTATTTAAGATAATATAATAAATTGTAAAAGTGACCCTTGCACAAGAATTTCATTTCAAATCAGGTCTCTTTTTTCTTTTTAATTATCAAATGAAACAACTGCGATATCTATGTACGAGTGCATGAAAAAATAATTTGAATAAAAAACATAAAAGAGTTCAGTATTTTAGGTGCTAGAATCCCGTTACAAATTCTGAAGATTTTAGAATGTGAAGAATTTGTTATCATATATTTGCCAGAATGATGGAAACGTTGTTAATTCAATCATCAAATAAAAGAATATAAAAAAATATTAATGTAAAATATGGTGTCAGTTAACTCAAATATAAAATAAAAGAATATAAAGAAATAATTATCGAATAAAAAGTTGTTAACTCGCCATTGATCAATTGTTAACTAAAAGAAAGAGAATACAAAGTTATTTGACGATTTTAGAGTGTGCAGAAATTTGTTACCCTATATTCGCTGATCATTTGAAAATTATTAAATCTACGGTAACGAAATATTCTCATATCAAACATATGTAAAACATAATTAGTCTACATTAATTTTGTAATATTATGATTAAAACAAATATTAGGTAAATACAAATTATCTAAGCCATATGAATCATATATAGTACTTAATTTCAGATGAATCACCAAAAAATAGGCATTCATATTTTTTAATATGGGGTTAGAATCCTGCTACAAGTTCAAATTTTGGAATGTGAAGAAAATTGTTTTATATATTCGTCAAACATATGGAAACATTGTTAACTCAATTATCAAATAAAAGGATATAAAAAATTAATGTAGATATGTTGTTAGTTAACTCAATTATCAGGTAAAAGAATATAAAAATATTATAAGGATGTTTGTTTATAAGAACTTTCAAAAAAAATTCAACATTTTAACTCAACCACTTTTTTTAACTCAACTTTAACTCAACACCACTATTATCAATATTATCAATTTAACTCAACTTTAATTCGTAAACCTCCCATAACTTTTTACTAGGAAATTTACATATGCTTCTATAACGACATGAATGTTTCTACCTTGCAGTAAAAATGGATGTCGAGACGCCTCAAAATGTCGCGGGAAATCATTTCGAGGATGTGAAAATGGTGCGCGCCTTGGTGGTGGATGATGACCCGATCGTTCGTAAGCTTCATTGTATGTACCTAAACAAGCACGTCCTCAAGAATGAGGTGGCCGAAACTAGCCAAGAAGCCCTCGACCTTTTCGACTCGGGAAAGAGTTTCGCTCTCGTGCTCATGGACTTGGAGATGCCCGTCATGAATGGAGCTAGGGTTGTTTACATACGACTACCATTTTATTAGTGTATCACATTTCAGTTTAAAAAACATGCTAATACGTTGAAAAAGTATAACAGACCAAAGTATAAGGTCTGTCTAATAGTTAGACAGTCTTACTGTTTTATACTTGACATGATTTTATTGTTAATATAGGCGACTGAGGAGCTTCGAGCAATGGGAGTAAAGGCCACGATAGTGGGTGTGACCGCTTGTGGCGTGGAGAAGGAGAGGGCGGCTTTCCTTGCGGCCGGTTTGGATGGTTGCGTTGACAAGACGTTGACCGCCCGAGCATTTATCGTAATTTTGGATGAGCTTGCACTGAGGGTACTTTGAAAGACTAAAAATGGTGTGTTTTTTACATTTGTATGCAACCTTTGATGGATCGAGGCTGCTCATTTATATGCTGGTTTAAGTTTTGGTTTGTTTAAAATAATTACTAAATAAAGAGACATGTTTGTTTTGTTTTATCTTTATTGTTGTTGTTATGGATTGTTTTTCTTTTTAGTATTATTATGTGGACATATATATATTTGCAGAAATAATGCATATTTGATAGAAAGCACAGGTCCAACTTAAGAGATTTTATTGGCTCTATATACGACTTATAAACTAAATAAATTGGTAAACAACCAGTCATTTGAAGTAAAACTGCAAATGAATCGAGCGGTTAGCGAGTGCTCGTGTCAAAGCACAACTCGAGCTCGAGCTGAACTTGAGCCTAAATGTTATAAGCTCGGGTGCCCGAGAAGCTACTAGATTATAAAATATAAATACAATTTGCCTGGATAGTATTAACATAACCTAAATTCGAGCGAAACTCAAACTCAAACTTGAGAGAAAACCCTTATTCGAATAGAAACATTTTACTAAAATTCAAGACAAGCTCGAGCAACTTGAACCAAAGTCGAACTCAAGCATGTATGTTATTAGGTCGAGTATAAATATAACTACCTAAATAGCCTTAACACAAGCTAAACTCAAGTTAAGCTTGTGGAAAAAGCCTTATTTAATGGAAAAAAATTTACTAAAAATTAAAGTCGAATTTGAACGATATTTGAGCTGATGAAATCTGAGTGATCAATCTCATGCATTTGCATATTTTTGTCGTAAATAGTCGAGCTAGAACAGTAGTGAAAAAAGTCAAGCTTAGCTCGATAAAGTCAATGCTCGACCCTAACCTGGAGTCTCGTTAACTCATACACATATGGACTCGATAAAGTCAATGTTCGACCCTAACCTGGAGTCTAGTTAATTCATAGACATATGGAATTGTAATGAACTGAAAGGCGTTCACATCATACGAATTAACTCGTACCATAGAGCGACTCTTCAATACTAATATGAAAAAAAGGGGGGAAAAAAAACAAGAGAACACAACAACAAAGAAGTACTCACTAGGTTCCACATGGACATGGATAATGTGTAGCAAAAGACCTGAAAAACAACTTGGCCTTTAAAGAGAATCCACAACTTTTCAATGAACTCATCACAAAATTTGTCGATTATTAGAATATGAGATTTTTCATGTACCACGAATGAATTATCGATAACTCACACCTTCACCACATACGACCTCGCCTATACGGAAGGCTGATTTTTTCAAAAGGTCATCACCGAGTATTCGTAAGGCCGCTTCTTCCTTCACCACCAACACCATTCCAACACCCATATTAAACGTCCGCCTCATTTCCGAATCTTCTATGTTCCCAGCCTAAAAAAAAAACTCAAAAGATTTAAAAATATACAAAACAAATCATTAATTACAAGGTTTAGCTTTTACTTTTCAAAAAAAAAAAAAAAAAAGTTACCAATGTAATTTTATAGTTATGTTTTCTGAGGTTGGGCTTAAATGGAGGGTATTGTGTGCAATTAATGGTAAACATATAAAGATTCTTCTAACCTCTTGAATCCACTTGAAAACAGGGGGAACGGCCCACGAGTCCTCGTATATGAGGGCTCCGAGGCCCTTTGGGAAAACGCGCGGTATATTATCGGTAAAACCACCGCCTGTGATGTGAGCAATCCCTTTCACCCCACCTTTGCTGATGATTTCAAGAACCTGTATTGCCACATTTAGCATTAAGTTATTTTTTTAAACAAAAAAAGGGACGAGGAAAAAGCTAAATAATTAGAATTTAGAAACCCGTTTGCAGACAAAAGACACCAAGATATACCTGCTTAACATATATAACTGTGGGTGCCATTAGAGCTTGACCTAGCGTAACAGATGAACCGGGCAAATTTTCTTTCAAAGAGAGACCACTTCGTTCGAGAACCCTGGATAAAAAAATATATAAATAATAATAAAAAAATAAATAAGTAGGAAACAGTTTCGAAAAAAGGTCGAGTATGGAGTATGTTTCGAGTTATGTGCAATTGTCTTAAAAGTTAAAACCTTCTGACAAGAGAGAACCCATTCGAGTGGACCCCACTGGAGGGAAGACCTATTAGGATGTCCCCGACCTCTATGTTTTTCCCGTCAATGACCGAGTCCTTTTTCACGATGCCGACAGCAAAACCGCTCAGATCATACTCACCTTCCGCATAAAAATCGGGCATCTCAGCTGTCTGAAAGATAATAAACCGACTCAAAGTCAAATGATGTTTTGTCTTGTATCTCGTGGTAATAATTTCTCTACGTAGGTTATGCTTACAGAAGTTGTAGTTGGTAAGCATATAAGTTAGCTTATAGCTTATTTGATTAGTTTATAAGCTTCATGTGCTCAAATAATTTTGGTTTGGTAAGGACGAGTGTTTTTAAAAAAGCCCGAGTTTGTCGCTTCCTTGGGTATCATTTATTCCCATTGAAATTTTTATTTCAGCTAATTTTACCGAACACTTTTATCATATAAGCTAGCTTTTAAGCCATAAGTCATAAGCTATCGGCTATACGCTCTAATTTCACTTAAAAGCTATAAGCTAGCTTATTGGCTAGGTTTACCAAACATATAGCCTGAGGCAACCAAATTTCATACAGAATATAGGAAACTCGAAATGAATACCTCTCCACCAAGAAGAACACAATCAGATTGTTGGCAACCATCAACTATGCCTTTGATGACCTGCATTCGTACAACAAGATGATCATTAAACTTTTAACTTCCCTATCCTAAAAAGAAAATATACTGATAAAAATAATTAAAAGTAGGATGGGGATGGGGAAAAAAATTACACCTTTTCTGCTAGATCGACATCAAGTCGGCTTGTGGCGAAGTAATCGAGGAAAAACAGAGGCTTTGCCCCAGAAGTCACAATGTCATTAACGCTCATTGCAACCTGAAAACAGATATATTGCTAAATACATGGCCAGCGGATAATGAATACTTGAATTACAAACCATATTAGTAATAAATAGTGTGCGAAACTTAGTGGCACTCTTTGTTACCAAATCAATGCCGATAGTATCGTGGATTCCAGTCTCGAAAGCTAGCTTGAGTTTGGTCCCAACTCCATCAGTGCCAGCGACTAGATAAGAATCTCCTGTGAAGCACAAAAATATAGTTCCATTGACATATAAGATAAGAAAAAACACCAAATTAAGTCGAAAGAAAATGAAAAAAATGAAGGAAAAAAATATCTTGAAAAGGGACAAGAGAAAATATAAATATTCAAAGTATAAGTGTTGGTGGGGTCGTGCCATGATCCTAAAAATGAAAGAGCGGAAGCTAGAAGAACACAGCTAACAGATGAACAGGATGCCAATTAGCAAGCTCATATATATAAGGAATCAGTAATTGAAGTCCACAAGAGTTCCAAATTGAACATTAAATCTGAAGAATGCAGTTCAAAATTTGGTCAGCATAACGATTAAAGTGATAAATTTTCTCAGATCATAAGTTAAATGTTGAAGAATCAAAATCCGGCCAATGCAACTCAAGAACCCAGATAAAGACGATGCAAATTCAAAGGTGCAAGTGTTCTCCCTTCCCCCGGAGAGCTCACAATCATTCGGCAAATCAAAGATCAAAATAAAAATTGAAGATTTCCACGAAATTACTACATACCCCACGAAATTAGACAATACCCAAGAATCAGATAAGAAAATCAAGGGTGCAAGTGTTCACTCTTCCCCCACTGCAAACCGACATCGAAAGAGCTCACAATCTTTCGGCAAATCAACAGTCACAATAAAAATTGAATCTTTCCATGATACATTGATATTACAACGTACCCCACGAAATAAATAAGACATTAATCCACGAAACAATAAGAGGGAAGAGCATACATATCTCAAATGATTTATAGAAATAGCAGCATATTAATATGTCAATAATCATGAAAGTAAATTAATAACCATACCCAGAGGGAAGAGCCCTCCAAAGCCTCCAATCCCAGGAGCCATTTTTGCAATCCTCCTAACAAGTTCTGAACCAGCATCAATGTCGACGCCAGCATCCTTGTACGTAAGCGCCTCGTCTTTGTCTTCTTCCCCAGCAGTGTGGACATGGTTCTTAGTATTGCTCGAAGCCGAAAGTACGACACCATTTTTCTTACTCCCCATTTTGTTTTGCACTCCTTTCTTGCAATTACTGGGCAAGAAATGCAAAAAACCTTTAAATGAACTGCCTTTACGAGTCTTGAGCGAGCCCGGGTTAAACTGACTCGTCACACAGTGAGGCAACTCTGTATTTGCTCTACAAGCCGTATTCATTGCTGTTCTCTAGCCCTTCACACGAAAATTAAATTTGTTGGTCAAGAGATACAAGGATGTAAGAGAAAACTGCTACGACGGACAGTAATTTTAACTGGGAGACCTTCAAGAAATGAGAAGAAAAGAGATAATACGGTTCAATTCATATGCAGGAGGTATAAGATAGAAAAATTTTCAAGAATTCGTATAATATGAGCTGTTAATTGACAAGAAGTATCTGAGAACTACCGAGTTAGCACCGGAGGGTGGGTGGCTAAGGGCGGCGGCGGCGGCGTGACACGGTGGGGGTGAGTGTGCTGTGAGACTGTGACTAGACTCCTGTCCCTCTCTATTTTTCTATTTTCTCTGTGTTTTTCTTTTTTTTTCCTTAAATCCTTTGCAGGATTATTACAGCCCAACTTTGGGCCCATAAATGCGTAATGTGGACGCCAATAACCGGCCCAAATGAGCCTACTTAAATTTGCTCTGTTAAGCATCAATTACCATCCGTGAGTATACAATTGAGAACCTACTTAAATAAATTAACAAAAGAAAATAAAAAGTTGCCATTTTTTTCTTTTTTTAAACATACTAAATTTCAGCGAAAAATACTACCATTTTTTTTGGTAGCAGCCACGTATCCGAAGCTTTGGCTCGACTAATCCATTGGTCGACCCGAATCGCACACCTGGCAATAGTGGGTGAGTAAGTCTCAACGAAAGTACAAACTAAAGAGCAAAAACTCATAAACTATATATAATTACATAATTTACGTTTAAATGGTATTTATAGACATCGATATAAAAAAGATTAACAAAATACAACCATAAAAATTGAATAACAATCACTTGATTGAAAAAATAAAATCTATTATTATTGTTTTAATTTGTTATTTATATTTTATTAATTGTAAGAGTCACCTCTTAACTTTCTCAACTAGTCTACTCTATTTCAATCTCTATGACACTATAGCTACCACATGAAATAAAAAGGAGGAGACAAAAGATTAGACATAAAAAAAAGTTAGAAAATTTAAGTTGAAGTAACTATTGATTCTTCATCTACTTAACCATGCACATTAAATACAGAGTATCATTACCAAACATCCTTATCATGACTTCACCTCCCTCTACATATAATACATAATTAATGGGAGATGCTACGGTCTGTCACGCAACCGTTAATGAATTATCCCTAACAGTTACATGATGATCTAACGGTTACAAACCCGACGGAATGGTTCTGTAACGAGAACGTAGCATTTCCTTAATTATATATACACACATACATTACACACAGTCAAACACATTCCAAAAACACAGTCTCTGTATTATCATCCTTAATCTCCTCAAAACTAACTCAAGCTTGTTTTCATCCATGAGAAAGTCTCTATGGCTACTTTTCAAAATTTTAGCTTTACAACATTTTATGGGTATGCTGTTCTTAACTGTGGAATCTATGGTAGAAGATCAAAAGGCAGAGGCAAATGTCCCTCTTTCAACTCTTTCACCACCTGAGGGCAACACTACGTTTCTCGACGGCTCGTCGTGGTGTGTGGCCCGGCCCGGCATGTCGTTGGTTGATCTACAGATCGCGTTGGATTGGGCATGTGGAGTCGGCAGAGCCGAATGCAGCCCAATCCAGCCCGGAGGCACGTGCTTCGAGCCCAACAACCTTCTTTCCCATGCTTCCTATGCCTTCAACAGCTACTACCAACAAAATGGCAATTCCGATATTGCTTGTTACTTCGGAGGGACCGCCGTTTTAACTCGGAATAATCCAAGTAAGTCCACGCTAACAATTTTAGTGTTGTGAAGCGAAACGAGCTGTTCGTGAGTTCGGCTCGACTCAACTTGTTAATGCTCGAGCTCAGCTCGACTCGTTATCACAATTCAGTCCTTTTAAGATTCTAGCTCGAAATATGTAAAATTTTATGGTTTGGAGTACTCAAATGTAGTAATTCTCAATGCAGGTTATGCAAGATGTGAGTTTGCCACATCAGAGTGAGTTATATAATTGACAATAGCTATACAAAATTAATTGTGACATTAATTAATAGGAATCATAACTTAATTAATTTATAATTATTAATTGATCTAATTTATATATATATATATGTGTTGTTTGCAGGTCAATGAAATCATCATCCTCTTCTGTGTTTGGATTTATTAAGGAGATTAGTATATGGAGAAGGATTGGTGTGATTTTTGTGCTTTTATATCTTGAGTTTAGATGACTGTAAAATATAAATATATTTAATATTGTAAGATTAGTTAATGGGCAACAAAAAAAATTGCAACATGGTTTTATGATGGTAAAATTGTGTGAAGTTAATTGGGTTAATTATCTAGTTATGCTTTGCTCTCTTTCTAGTTTAAGAATCCCATTAAAATTAATGTGAAGTACATTGTGTTGCTTTTGTGAAGCTATCTTTGTTTATTTATAGTTTTCTAAATCTAGCTTTGAACTATTGTTGTTTTTTTTACTTTTTTCACTCTGCCTTGTTAAGATAGACACTCATGAGTTGTCACACGTCGTATATATAGAGAAAATACTCCTAACTTGTAAACTTAGTAGGCTACTCTTCCTACTACCAATTGGTTATAAGACGAAACACTACTAAGGTCCATCTGGGCTCACTCTTCTTTGGTGCGCTTCTCGTCCATGGGATCACACATGTCAACCTTCGTTTCTTCATGTTTGTATGGCTACGTACTTCTAACATTATGCAATGTATCAAAAACATGTTGGCTATTTGCAATTGGTCAGACACAAATGCAAATAAAATTTAACGATCTTGATTCGTTAAATAAACGAGTGAAGAATCGAGTTTGAGCTTGACTCATTTATCACTATTAACGAGCCGAGTTCGAATTTTAACAAGACAATCTCGAGTTTTAATGAGACGTACTATATAAAAATTTTCTCTTCAAGTTGAGTCAGACTCGTCTAATTTAATAGCAGTAATTGTAATGTGTCTTCGATTATCATGACTATATTTTTTGTTAATTCTTTCAGTTTAACCAGTGGTCTCGTGTTCGAGCCCTGGGAATGAAGCAGTGTTAAAAACTTTTGAGGGAGAGCTTTGCCGCCCTTGTGGTCCTACCCGGCTCGATTCCGAATTAGTCGGTTCCCCTGTGGATCTGGAAACCGGAAGGGCCCTGTACCAAAAAAATATAATAGGTTAACAAAAAAATCCAATGGCTGGTTTGACAATATCATTAGGTTAATAGGACTCCCAACGTCTAGGTTGACAATATTAATTGAATAAGTAATAGTAGTAATATTATTATATGAGTATTTTAAATATTAAAATGTCAAATCATAAATATCGTTCATAATTAGCAAAAAAATAAATGAAAAAAAAAAAATCAAACAATATATATAAAGATCAAGAGAAAAGCTAATAATTGACTTAAAAAGATTAGATTCTAAAGTTAATTGGTAATCTTATTTTTTTTAATTAAGAAATTGATAGTTATTAAACATATTTCTTTAATTTTAAATTATTTTTATTTGATATTAAAATTTATATTTGCTGTTGTAATTGCTATTACTACATATTAATGGCTAGTTCGGTATTTTTATTTTATCTATAAACACTAAAATAAAATATGTGTCAATTTTTTTTTATTTTTTTTTTCTTTTTTCCCCTTTTGGTAGTTGGAGTAGTGAATTGTGATTGTGAAAGACTCTGATTGAGTATGATGGGCTTCATGCAGAGAAAAGTAAAAGAGGCCTATATTGGGCTGTAAAAGCTCAAATCTGGTGGGTTTGCAGAGCTCTCTGCCCAATGCAAAAGCCCACCTCGGATAATAATGTTATTGAGCATGTACTTGATTTTGTTATTTTTGTTAAACTATTTTTAAATTATTATTTAAAAATAGAGGAAATTGGAAACAACTTGTGAGCATACGCGGCCCCGAGCCGAGGTTTGGAGGACCCTGAACCAGCCATATCATATACACATGTCGTTAACGGATGATTTTGGGTGGATGATTTCAGGTTGTATGGGTGAATTGTTGGATCCGAGTCATTTCAATTTATTAATAAAAAATAATAAAATAGTTATAAAATATTTAAAAAATAAATAAAAAAATATGGGTTGCAAGCGCATCGAACGAGTTGAGATTCAACATATTGATTTCGTGTTTGCTTATGTTTGAGCATTGTTTGTTCGAATCATATGAATATATAAAAAAATAAGTTTTAAAAATAATATGCTAATAATTGCGAACATACTCGCGTTTGTTCGATTAATTCAAGAATGTTAGTAATCAAACAAAACAAACAATTTAGCATGTTCATAATTGCGAACATTTGATAGTTGAATAAAAATGTTAGTAATCCAACAAAACAAACACAAATTAGATTGAAATTTACCATATAAACACTTTGATATTTAGTATCTTGTACCAAATGTATCCTCATCCACAAATATTCTATGGAGCAATCGAATGGTTTTTTTATGCAGCCAATAAGTGTGGATGACTTCATAAGTCGAGTCATCCGATGGCTTCATAGCAAAACTGTCCTCACCAAATTGACAATATATTTGTGACAACATTCAAAACCAAAATCTTATCCAATTGATACCACCCAATACTCATGCGCCACGTCAGCCTCAAGCATCTCAAAATCCAATCATGTAATTTTCAAGCCACAAACTCTTCATGTGGCTATGGCAAACACCAAGATTTATTCCATTCTTGCAAAACTACAATAATCAATTAAATAAGGAGAATTTTAGTTGCATTTTGATTAATTTAGCTTTAAAAAAAAAAAGAGAGAAATTAAAAAAAATGGCTGCTAATGTCATGTCTTCCCTTCCACAGTTCAATGGGCTTAAGTCCCAATTTGCCTCATGCTCTGCAGTTAAAAACTTGGTTAGTTTTGAAATTTATTATAATTACTATCGTTTTAATTTTATGGAAATGCTAAGATCCCGTTTCGTAATCATTCTGTCGGGATTTATAACCGTTGGTTACATAATGATCTAACGGTTACAAATCTCGACGAAATGATTCCGTAACAGAACCTTCCTAATTTTATATTCATCATGTAATAGTTTTGAAATTTATTATAATTACAATTGTTTAATTTTATATTCATTTGAGATTTTGAGATACCTTTAAATGAGATTTTGTAAGCTTTTTGTCACCATTTGAGCTACTTTATAAGTTACAATATTTATTATATAATTTTTTACCATTTTAGAGAAAAATGAATTTGTTTTATTTATATATCCATTTGTAGGTGGCTGCTCAGCCCATGAGGCCCAAAGGGCGGAGAGCTTTGGGCGCTCGTTGCGACTTCATTGGCTCGCCGACAAATTTGGTAAACAATTTAATTTTTATTCAATTTTTTTCCTATGTACATATATTTTTTGGGAAAATAATACGGTCCTGTTACAGAACAATTCCGTCGGAGTTTACAATCGTTAAATCAACTGTTCCCGACGATATCATGATGATCTAACGGTTTCGAACTCTAACTGAATGATTCCGTAACGGGACTGTAGCATTTCTTTTTTTTTTTGAATTTTTTTGACGAGAAGTTTAAAGGTACAACTTTAACCGATTTTTTTTTTTTTTGACAACAAATAATGGAAGAACTAATAATTATTTTAATAAATACAAGTGAGATATAATTAAATAAAATAGGTGCGGCAATGAATGTTAGATTTATAAATAAGTGTACATGACTATTTTATAATTTAGAAATTAATAAATATTTCGAGTAAGGCTAAATAAAAAAAATAAAAATTGAAATGAGTGGATAATTTCTTTTTTATTATTAATTTTTATTTCTGGAATTGCATTTGCAGATCATGGTTACATCAACAAGCCTGATGTTGTTCGCGGGCCGGTTTGGGTTGGCCCCATCAGCGAACCGGAAGGCCACAGCTGGGCTGAAGCTGGAGGCGAGGGATTCGGGCCTGCAGACGGGCGACCCAGCGGGCTTCACTCTGGCGGATACATTGGCCTGTGGGGTTGTGGGCCACATCATCGGGGTTGGGGTTGTGCTAGGCCTCAAAAACATTGGCGCAATCTAGATTTTTGTTGTTGTGTTGATAAAATCATCTATTATTAATCATTTTTATTTCTAAACATTAGCTCTCTCTCTCTATCTTACTTAGCTTATGTTTGGTAAATATAGTCCCGCTCACCTGTCCACGGTGGGCAGTGCCCACCACTTTATTTTACATGAAAAACGTATTCTGAGAATACGTTTTTCAATTAAATTTAATTGAAAAACGTATTCTCAGAATACGTTTTTCATGTAAAATAAAGTGGTGGGCACTGCCCACCATGGGCAGGGGATCAAAATTTTTGGTAAATAACCTAATCATAACTTATTTGATTAGCTTATAAAGTTTCTGTATTTAAATGAATTTACAAATAGATATACAACTTATTTATTCCCACTTTAAAAAACATTATTGTAAAAACTACTTTATACAACTATTAAAATTGACTATTTATAATGGATTTGTACTTTTTTTTTATATATTTCCGGAGAACATATAAAGTATTTACTTTCTGAAATGTTAGACCTATTATAAAAATTCAATTTTATGATGTTTTATTACTAAAACGTTGTAAGAAGTATATTTTTTATAACAAATTAGTTCTAGCCCGTTATATAAAGTTCATTTTATCGAACGGATTAACAATGACCGTTATCAAATATACATTTTGTATACAACATAAATTTTTAAAATCATTTAAAAACCTCATTATTAAAAAAAGTATTGCAACATTTTATTTATTTTTGGTTTTTTATATTACATCTTTAGAGTTGAAAGATTCACTACCAACAAAACTACCAATAATAAATAACAAAACCAAATGTTTACCAACACTAGTTCAATTGGGTATGTGGTCTTGGGCCACATACGTTTATTTGGGCCAAATATTTTTGTGGTCTTCGGCAACAACAATTACTTGAGACGATGTTAATATGTGGGCCAACTCATTTCATATGATCAGAAATTTAATGGTACAACGTGTAACATCTCACAATTAAGACATATTATTTTTGTAATATTTTGACCCATTCGAATAAGACATTTTGTAGTTCGATGTTGAGGAAAAAATAAGATATTCAATAAGAGTGTCGTAGGAACAAGAAGATCACAACGGAAGAAGAAATAAATAATGAGTGTAATGTTTAAAGTGAAGTAGGTTATGTAAATAGATAAAATAATCCAATATACATAAATATAGTGACTATAGAAAAAAATCCAATGCAAAATAATGGTTTGTTTAATTCACATGGTGTTGTCCTAGAGAATCCAATAGAAAGTAAACCATTTGTCATTGTCTATAAATATTACAAATAAACAATGTCTCATTTGGACTTGTCCGAAAATAGTGCACTAGTTATTGTCTTAGTCAAATTTGTTCGCTTCACATGGCCTTGTCTGGAAAGAATCGAATGGATAGATGAATGGGTTAATTGCTAAATAAACCTGAACCTTTTTGCGTTTGGCAATTTTATCCCAATTTTTGGGTTATTGTAATATAATCTCGACTTCAACTTACTTATTGCAAATTAGGGTGCAGAGTGATTGATTTTAGGGATTTGTGGATCGATTTTGTGTCTAAGTCTTCCATTGACACGGGTTTTTATGCCATCCACGTAGCAAGTTGACAATTCCACATACTTAAGGTATATCCATGCACAAAGCCGAAAATTCTACGTCAATGTAAGCTACCGGTGATGAGTATCCTCCTAGATCTGGAGTGAACCGATAAATATAAGCTCCGATCTATTCAAACCGCCTTCAAATCGTCCAGTTTTTTGAAGGTCCAATCAGTTTTATGTTCGGATTGCAATAAGTAAATTGAGGTCGAGATTATATTGCAATTACCCCGAGATTGGGATAAAATTGCCAAACGCAAAAAGGTAAAGATTTATTTAGCAATTAACCCTAAATAAATTATCTGTCATTGTCCAAAAATAATACAAAAAAATAATGCTCCACACGGACTTGTTCGAAAATAGTGCACTTGACATTGTCTTGGTCAAATTTATTCGTTTCACATGGCGTTGTCTAAAAAAATATGATGAAGAAAACATATATTTCTTTTATTAATTCCTTCACCTATATAAACATGAAGCTACATATCACACCGTTCAAGCTACATATAATCTTCATTGTCGAATATTTCTCCAATATTTTCCTCTAAAATCATTCACAACGAGTTATTTTCCTCCATATAATTATGATTTTGACTAGGAATAAGATGCAAAAGCTTTACTACATTTTTCTTTTTATAACATTTTGGTAACAACCACCGCTCATATTTTGCAAACTAATATTTTTATTATGGCACACACCATCTCTAAGCAAAGTACCCAACCGACATGGAGATGTTATATTCTAAGCAATAGAGTAGCCCATCGTGATTGGAAAGATGCCCATCACACTCTGTTTCGAGATTACTTTCGCAGTAATCCAACCTTCGATGCAGGTACATTTCGTCGAAGGATTTGAATGCCTATTTTTAATTTCAGGCGTGTTATGCAAGCTTTGAGAAATCATGATAGTTTCTTTCGACCACGCCGGGATGGTTTTGGTCGGCTTGGATTGTCAACATATATAAAAAAGGCGACGTCACTTCATCAATTGACATATAAAACCCCTACAAATGGTGTTGATGAATAAATTAAGATTTTATAGTCAACAAATGAACGCGTCAAGAAATATTGTCGAAGAGTTGTTGAAGTTTATGGATAACAATATATGAGATCACCAGATCATGATGATATTGCTAGATTGCTTCATATTGGTGAGCAACATATTTTTTCGAGTATGTTAGGTAGCTTGGACTGCGTGAGAATGTGAGAATTGCCCTAAGGCACGGGATGGTCAGTCTTCTGGACGTTCCGAAAAACCAACAATTATTTTGGAAGTTATGACTGATTATGATCTATGGATATTTTGGTACGCCAGGTGCCAACATTGACATTAATGTGTTGGAAGCAACACCTCTTATGTCAAATATTGTTGAATGTATCACTCCACTATCTAATTTTACCATTCAAGGTAAACCATATAATATGGGCTATTATTTAACAAATTGTATACATCCGAAATGGTCCACTATTGTTAAGTCTTTTGTTGCACCATCAAATCCAATGGAGGAATTTGTTAAAATGAGACATGAGACATGTAGAAAAAACATTGAGCATGCAATTAGAGTTATGCAAAAAAGGTTCACAATCCTCATGGGTCTCGTTTGTTTCTTAAAAAAAATATGCTTAATGATATAATGAAAGCATTTATTATTTTGCACAATATTTTACTAAGAGCATCTCGAATGTATTACTGTCAAGTGAAAAAATAAATGCCATGGCATGCCCACTGTTTGAAACCACACAGTCTTTGACATTATGACTCAGAAGAAATATGTAGAATCATGGGAAAAAAGTTTGGGAAAGTGGAGAAAAAATTGATTGAAGGATATGTGAACACATATGAGAATCCAAATATGATTCAAATCAAGAGTTGAGTCTTTACATATGTTTAAAATTAATATTTGTGTCTCTAAATATGTTTAAAATCAAAGATGTGAGGCTAATATGATAGTTATATTTAACATTATGAGCATATTGTATTTACGTGGAATAACAAACTCGTATATATTTAGGAGATATACTTGTTAACATGTTGTCATTCAATAAATTCTAAAAATTAGTTTAACATGAATATTTTAAGAAATAAATATCGACAACAATGAAAGAAAGTGCGTGTTGTACATAGTATTTTTTGCCGTTGCTAATCCTACTTAGTATTTTTGGCGCTGCTCCTATTGTCAACATTGATAGTAAGGGGATCAATCATCCAATTGTATACATACACGTGGCATAAATATTTTAATATTTCCATTCATACACTGGAGATGCTCTAGCACCGTTGAAATGGTTTAACTTTGGACTTTGGAGAAACTCAATTGTAAAGAGATTTGATGAAATGGGCCGAGAATAGCATTTTTTTTTTTTTTGAAAATCTTATACTCAGCCCACTAAGTCATTCAAGGGAAATCCAATTTCGAAAGCCCATTAACAGATGAAGGAATTTCCAGAGACATCTTTAACCAGAAAACTCACGCTCGTCTGCGTCTGTAATTCCCAACCAGGCTTCGATCGAATACGGCGCCGTTTAGCTCACAGCTTCCATTTGCATAGAATAAAAATTGACAGGACAACACAACTGCGAGTGGACTCTAGGGTTTATCCACTCGGGCTGAAAAGACAAAAAATTCAAAGCAATGAGCATATGGAATTACGTGGTGACGGCTCACAAGCCGACCAACGTTACTCATTCCTGCGTCGGCAATTTCACCGCCCCGCACGAGCTCAATCTCATCGTCGCGTAAGTTTTCAGTATCTGTGTGGTTATGGGTTCCAATTTGTGCTTGCAAACGATATGGGTGCTGTTGCTGTGGAGCTTCAGTGTATTTGGGATTTGCGTTTGTGATTCTGGGTGTCTAATTGTTTTGGTGTCCTCCTGATTGTTGTGAGCTTGCAGGAAATGCACCAGAATAGAGATTCATTTGCTCACACCTCAAGGTTTACAGGTAAAGCACTCACGGTTAGATTAGACGGTTATTATGAAGATGGTCTACATACTAATGTTGTGATTCATTGATTGTCAATGTTATGAGCTTGATGCTCCTCGACACTTTATATGGGGTTCACACTATCTCTTTATGTTTTTATTTTGCTCAAAAGCTATGAATTATTACCGTCTCATGTCAGAAAAGTATAGAACGGGGTAATGTGGGAGTCTAGCCTATTGTGGTATGCTGAATTTCCAGATGGATTTTTTTTGTGATGAGTTAAGTGGATCATATTTCTAATTTACGGTATGCTTTGCAGCCTATGTTGGATGTACCAATATATGGTAGAATTGCCACTCTTGAGCTTTTTCGTCCACATGTGAGTGTTACAAGTTTATTTATTTGGTCTGATTAATTTTGCCTTAATTTACCTTGTCTAATGGAGAAACATTTTATATGTTGATATTTGATTCACTTGACAGGGGGAAACTCAAGATCTCCTTTTTATGGCTACAGAAAGATACAAATTCTGTGTTCTGCAATGGGATGCCGAAAATGCTGAGGTTATTACAAGGTGACACTAGTTTTTATTGAAATTCTGGACGATTACTTCTTAGAATTTCAATTTTTTTTTGCTGATTTGTAGTCACTAAAGTTTTAATACGTCTTTAACTCATTCATGGTATCCCGTGGATGCATTAAACTCCCAAGTGGGTTGATGACCACAACTATTTTGCACTCAACTAGCAATTGGGTTTGCGTAAAATACTATACTTGGAGCAATCCGAATGAATTATAGGAATAGCATTTATATTATTAAGTAATTGTTGTCTTCAACTCTTCATTGTTGCTGTTGTTTCACAGTTTGATTCTTCGTTATTTTAGAAGGTCTTTATTCTGTTTTTTTGGGGGTGGTTTCCACCATTGAAATAGGGCAATGGGGGATGTTTCAGATCGAATTGGTCGTCCTACGGACAGTGGACAGGTAATTTAGTTTGTGCTGGGAACTTCAAGTGTTCATGTTTGAAAGTTATCTAGTCTTTGACATGCTTCTAACTTTCCTCGTAGATTGGCATAGTTGACCCAGATTGCAGATTGATTGGACTTCACCTATATGATGGATTATTCAAGGTATTGCCCTAATGTGGATCTCTCTCTCAATCTCCTGTCTCCACACCACTAGTGTTTGTGAGCATATTTCTTGTTTTCAGGTCATTCCATTTGATAACAAAGGCCAGCTCAAGGAGGCATTTAATATTAGGTACTTTTTCCGCTTGATGAACTCAAGTAATCAACCATTCTGGAAGTAAAATACCTATTTCTCTGACAATAATTGGTTCTGTGACTTGGACATCATTTGTTGTCTGTTTTATCAATAGACATACCTGTTCATTTTTTGGTTCTATTTAAACTTAAAGTCACGGTCATCTTTTCTTATATTGAATAAAAAGGGCATACATTAGAATTAGATGTATTTATTGTGTAGTCGGCTTCGGTGGGAGCAACTTTGATATGCAATTGTTTCATTCTTGTCTGGTCAGTCAATATTTATCTTGTAGATGTAAGTTGAGAAAAAAAAAAAAAAATCAAAACATTTTCATCTCGTTTTACTCTTTTTATCCAGAATCCACTAACACAATTTAAAAAAATAAAAAAATAAAAATAAAAATAAGTGGTACTAATAAAATAATCAAGCATTAATATATATTTTCTAGTAAAAGCACTATTCACAGCTCCAATATTTCTAACTACCAATCACTATCAATCAACATTTTATTATTTTTATATCACATCAACTCTAATCATTATGTGTTTTATCTCATATCCATTCACAATCTCAAAATTTTCTCATTTTTTCCAAAAACAAATATTTCCATATCTCTATTTCTGACTGGACATTTTTTTTTTATTTATATCCAAACATGCCAATATCATATCCAACTTATATGTTAGCTGATTTGTTGCTCCTTTAACTGACATTAGCTAATTTGTAATATCTTCAGGCTGGAGGAGCTTCAGGTTCTGGATATCAAGTTTTTGTATGGTTGCCCCAAGCCAACCATTGTTGTACTTTACCAGGTTTAATCTACTCCTTTCCCTTGACTTTCAAGTGTGTATTTTGTATCCTTTTGGTCTTTCTATGTTACAAGGAATTTATTGGTGTGAGCCATGAGTTGCTTGAAGCCGGTAATCTTATTTCATTAGTGTGGTCACAAGTAGGCTTAGGTTTGTTTGCATTACATAACCTTTATGTGCTTGTGTGTGTGTGTGTGCGTGTGTGTGTTTGTGTTGGTTGGCTTTATCTTTCATGATATACCTATCAGCAAACTTCATTATTGGTGGTGATGGTTCCATCTAATGTGCTCAGCTACAGTTCTTTAGTATGCTTTATATCATGTACCCATTTCCTTTCTATATATGATGTCTTAGACTAAATTACATGAGCCCTCTAGAGTTCATTTATTGTTTACAAGAACGTACTACTTGCTTATATTAGAGGTTGTTCTTAGCCATGTTGTACCTAGTACCTGCTCTTACCATCCTCGTCCTCATCATTCTTTGCCCTTGCTGGCAGGATAACAAAGATGTACGTCATGTGAAAACGTACGAGGTTGCTTTGAAGGATAAAGATTTTGTTGAGGGTCCGTGGTCTCAGAATAATCTGGATAATGGGGCAGAATTGTTAATCCCAGTTCCGCCTCCTCTTTGTGGTGTCCTAATTATTGGCGAAGAAACCATTGTTTATTGCAGTGCCTCTGCTTTCAAAGCAATCCCAATCAGGCCTGTAAGTTAATTAGATCTCTTGCAAGTTCTGTTAGTTCATTCTGATCTTGATACTGATCCAATTTTGTGTTTTATCTATCAAGTCTATTACAAAAGCTTATGGGAGGGTTGATGCTGATGGTTCACGCTACTTGTTAGGGGATCATAGTGGGCTTTTGCATCTACTTGTTATAACTCATGAAAAGGAGAAGTATGTTTACTGTCTTTTGATCTGACATTTCTTGAGTTCAAGGCCTATATGTAGTTTGTTTGACATGACCAAATGATTTTCCTATTTGTGATCTTCTAGAGTAACTGGACTCAAGATTGAGCTCTTGGGGGAAACGTCTATTGCATCGTCCATATCGTATCTTGATAACGCTGTTGTTTTTGTAGGCTCAAGTTATGGCGACTCGCAGGTTTGAACTAAATTCTTCATTGACATTTCATCTTCTTTTCTGAGAATTAGGTTATTTATGTTCTTATTGTACATTGCAGTTTTAACATCTGAAGTGTTGGATTACATTATGTTTTTCTTTTTTTTTTTTGTCTAAATCTAGTTTAGGAGCTTGACGTTTTTATTATTATGCAGTTTTCATTACCATACTTTCCGGTATCCTTATTATATTGCTGCACTTATTTTATCTTGTACCTCATTTTGTGATTAGTTTTCATGTTTGTTCGATATAGGTCATCTTAATAAAGCTTCCCAAATCAAGCTGTTTCATTTCTTTCTACGAGTAATCTCGTCGAAATAGTCATAGCAGGGCAGATAATTATCTTCTCTGTCTGTGTGATATATTGTTCTTCCGAGTGGGTACAACAGCTTTTGTATCTGAAAATGCGTCTTTTGGTTGTCAAGCTTTAGAATATTGTCAATGGAAAGTTCTTCTTTTATTCTTTTGACATGATGAACCATATAGGCTATTGTTTGATGGATTTGCTATTTTGATTTTTGCATGATGCAGTTTTCCTTTTCGTACAGTTATCTTTTATTTTGGAGCCTTGTAATAAATATTCATTTGTTTCGTTAGTCTTAGAGCATGCAGTGCAGTTATTAATGTCTATGAAGTATAGTTACGGTAATTGTGAATCTTTTGTAGTTTTGTTCTGTTATTGGATTTGTTGTAATTCTGATACTGCAACAACAACATACCCAGTATATTCCCAACTGGTTGGGGTAATTCTGATACTGATTCATACTTATATATTCCAGCTGATAAAGCTGAATCTTCACCCGGATGCAAAAGGTTCTTACGTGGAAGTTCTTGAAAAGTATGTCAATTTGGGGCCTATTGTTGACTTCTGTGTGGTTGACTTGGAGAGGCAAGGCCAAGGTCAGGTTGTGACTTGCTCAGGAGCCTATAAGGATGGTTCACTACGCATTGTGCGCAATGGAATTGGAATAAATGAGCAGGTTTGATGTCGATAAATTTCACATAAGGATATGTTCCTTAAAAGTGATGTGATCTAATCTATTCACAATGTCTCTTGTAGGCATCTGTTGAGCTTCAAGGAATCAAAGGGATGTGGTCATTACGAGCAGCTACTGATGATCCACATGACACTTTCTTGGTTGTTAGCTTTATTAGCGAGACACGTATCTTGGCAATGAACATGGAGGATGAATTGGAGGAAACTGAAATAGAAGGCTTTTGTTCAGATGTTCAGACATTATTTTGTCATGATGCTGTATATGACCAGCTTGTACAGGTATGACGATGCAAGCATCCAATATCCTTATATTGCCTATTATTATGTTGCTGACGCAGATTTTGATGAGTAGTGCCAATACCCTTACAAATTATGAACACATGAATATGAGATATTATGTTCCTGACCATCCTTCGTACTTCTGCTATAAGTGGAAGACTTAAGAGTGGAAAACATGACTGTAATATCATATCTTGGATGTGGATGCCTGGATGGAGATATTTGTTTGCGTTTAGAAGTACTGTTGAAGAAAAAATGGGTAACTGGTACCAAATTTAATACCGTTAGTTCTAAATTCTACCTCTGTATTATTTATATCTACTACAAACTATATTGGTCATTTAACTATTTTTGGAGTTTATATCCGAGTTGAGATTTTTTGATGAAACTACTTCACTATGTTGAATTGATTCTTTCTTCAGACACACTTAACATTCGTTCTCTTAGAATCTTCCCAAACCATGATAGTGTTGTATCTCATTATTTTTCGTGTCATTCAATTACTCAATTGTGTCTTCTGTGGTGACTGGTTGTGCTTGATTATTTTCATGGCATATGCTTTCCTCTGTGCTGTTAGGTAGTAATACCTATTAAGCTGGTTTGGGCCTTCCCAGGAGGTTGTATACTTAGTTATTACATTATTGTAGGCAGTTTTTCAATAGCAAATAATGATGCAGGTAACTTCAAACTCGGTCAGATTGGTTAGTTCAACCACTAGAGTATTCCGTACGGAATGGAATGCTCCGGCCGGTTATTCGATCAATGTTGCGACAGCCAATGCTTCACAGGTATATTTTTGTTTGTTGCTTGTGCTATTAACTTTGAAATGAATGTCTGTTGATTAGCTAGAAAATCTCGTAAGGATCAAAGATACAGCTCCAAGATTTGGGAGAATCAATTTAGCGTAACAGTTTGTCACTTGAACTGTTGTTAATATCAGGTTTAAACCCCTCCAAGTTTTGGGCCCATGCATTACAGCCTTCAGTTTCTTTTAATGTCATCCTATTATGAACAAGCAATAGGTGACCATACTACATGCTATTGAGTGTAATACATTTTGCTTCGGCAGGTTTTATTGGCTACTGGTGGCGGCCATTTGGTCTATCTTGAGATTGGGGATGGTGTGTTAACGGAAGTTAAACACGCACAGTTGGAGTATGATATCTCATGCCTGGACATTAATCCAATTGGTGATAATCCAAATAACAGTCAGCTTGCAGCAGTGGGAATGTGGACAGATATAAGTGTCAGAATATTTTCACTTCCAGACTTGAATCTTATCACAAAGGAGCATTTGGGTGGAGAGATTATACCTCGTTCTGTTCTTCTGTGTTCTTTTGAAGGGGTTAGTTTCATTTTAATTGTGTAATAAAATCGCATATAATTGCTCATTAATTTTTCCTGTCGATGCTATTTTTAAATCTGAGAGGTTTGGGCTCATCACTATTGGATATATTGTATTTCATGATTCATAATAGATAGGCAGTCTTAGGCTCTTTGCATACTTAAATTTACTTAGCATTGAGTAGGATCGTGGACTGAAGAACCTGGTGGAGTTTTTAGGTTATTGTGTTTACGAATAAGTTTGATGATTAGTAGGAATGGCAAGGCAAGGTGATCTGATGCATGCTCGGCAATCCTCTCTCCTGTTTAGTTTTTTTTTTTTTTTTGGTTGGTTCTTGGCATCAGGTTCTTATACCAGTTGTAAAGTATAAAGAAGGATAATATCTTCAGTTTTTTCATTTTGTTATTGTAATATTGACCTCATTCGTATAAGTTTCAATTTCCCTTGAAGTAATAACAGAATAAGGTTACAGTGAATGCTTAGCAGGACTTATCAATTATGAAAATAGAGGAGGCTTATGTTCACATATTACCCGAGTTATTCTGAGATTAATCAGGATGTGTCAGTTATGAAAATAGAGGAGTTTTATGTTCACGTATTACCTTAATTATTCCGAGATTAAAATATTGGTAAAATACTATGCGGGGCTTATCTAACGATTTCCTAAATATTTTGAGTGTTTTTTCATATATATATTTCAGATATCTTACTTGTTATGTGCTCTTGGGGATGGACACCTCCTAAATTTTGTATTGCATACAAGTAGTGGCCAGCTGGCAGACCGAAAGAAAGTGTCTTTGGGGACGCAACCCATTACACTTCGTACTTTCTCGTCAAAAAATGCAACACACGTGTTTGCTGCCTCCGATCGACCCACCGTCATTTACAGCAGCAACAAGAAGTTGCTTTACAGTAATGTTAACCTAAAAGAAGTCAGTCATATGTGCCCTTTCAATTCTGCAGCTTTCCCTGACAGGTTAAATATCCTTGAATTCTTGTTATACGGCGGATTAATTGGACCTCTGATTTTAATTATAAAATGTTAGACTGACAGTTTAGAATTTTCTTTATTAACAGCCTTGCAATTGCGAGGGAAGGCGAACTAACAATTGGCACCATTGACGACATTCAGAAGCTGCACATACGTTCTATCCCGCTTGGGGAGCATGCAAGGCGCATATGTCATCAGGAACAGACTCGAACATTTGCCATATGCAGTTTAAAGTGCAACCAATCGAGTGCAGAAGATGCTGAAATGTACTTTGTTCGCCTGCTGGACGACCAAACTTTTGATTTCATGTCGACTTATCCACTGGATCAGTTTGAGAATGGTTGCTCCATCCTTAGCTGCTCGTTCTCTGATGACAACAATGTGTACTACTGCGTTGGAACTGCGTATGTAATGCCAGAAGAGAATGAACCTACCAAGGTCAATTTTGCTCTCTCTCTCTCTCTCTCTCTCTCTCTCTCTCTCTCTCTCTCTCTCTCTCTCTCTCTCTGGATCCATGCATGTTGCTCACATGTTATTGTGCCTTAAATTCTTTCCCTTGTTGTCTTTTGAAAGTTTCTGGTTATGATTGTACGCGTGCTCAAATAAAAACTTCCACTCAATGAGTTTTTCTCCTTAAGATGAGTTTGATTT